CTTAGTCTCCTGGAAGCTCTGGAGGAGCTAGCTGGTGGGGGGTGAGGGAGTAGGAGAAATGGGTGCATTGAATCTTACTGGTAAAGTTATTGTAGGAGTACGTAAACACTGTAACCTTCTGAGGGATTGGGAGTGGGGGACCCACACCAGGGACAAAGAGCCTCAAACCCTCCATAGAAATCTCTCCGAATATATGTGAGAGAGGCAAGTGATTGCTATTCTTCTTTTTATTCTCGTAAACATTATAACTGCTATAATTTATTGAGTGTCTATTTTGCATAAAACATATCTTTAATTGCCACACAATCTTACAGGGGATGTCACACGCCTATGTTATAGGGTAGGCAACCGGAGGTTTGGCAACTTGCTGAAGGTGACACAGCTGGTAACCTGATCTTTATTAGATTTGACCATGAATCTCTTTTTAAAATTGCTTCCTTGAGGTGCCATGGATTCCCAGTGACTACATATCAAAATGCACCTTTTGATCAGTTCTAACGTTTGTATGCACAGACTCATGAGACCATCACCACAAGGAGAAGAGGGGGCACGGACAACCTCCCTGCACCCCACAAAGGTTTCCTCATTCCTCCCTGTAACTTCCTCCTGCACCCCCTGCCTTGCCTTGCGCTCCCACCCTTTCCTAGGCAACCACTAGTCTGCTTTTGTCACTATACATTATGGAGCACTTCCTAGCACGTGACATGGATTAGTCATACAGTGTGTACTCATTGCCCGCCCTCTTCCACTCAGCCTCCTTATTCGAGTTTCATTCACATTGTTCTGTGGATCAATAGATCAATCCTCCAGACCAGGGATCCTCAAACTTTTAAACAGGGGGCCAGTTCACTGTCCCTCAGACCCATTGGAGGGCTGGACTATAGTTAAAAAAAAACCACTATGAACAAATTCCTATGCACACTACACATATCTTATTTTGAAGTTAAAAAACAAATGGGGCAAAAACACCGGGCAGGCTGTAGTTTGAGCTGGATTCCCTGCTAAGAGAGATCACAGCTGGTTTCTCTGTTCATCTGCTAATGGGCATTGGGGGGGCTTCCAGTCTGAGGCTCTTACAACGAGAGCAGCTGGTCTGTTGGGGGCTGAGCTTTCGTTTTCTCATGGTAAATATCAGAAGTTGAACCGCTCAGTCCTATGGCAGGTATGTGTCTACCTTTTTAAGAAACGACTAATCATTTCCCAAGCTGCCATGCCATGTTCCATTCCCACCAGTGGAGTACGAGAGCTGTACCTCTCTATGGCTAATCAGCATTTGGTGAGTCTGCCTTAAAAGGCTGTGTGGTGGTGGGATCTGCTTGGAGTCTTAATTGGTGTTTGCATAATGCCAAACAATATTCCACACCCTTTCATGTGCATAGTCGCCCTGTAATTGTCTTCTGGAGTGGAGGTGTATCAAGGCGAGGGCTGGATGCCACTTGAGGGGAAGCCCCTCAGCAGCTTCTGTTTGCCCCCGCAGGGGTCCACTGCCCACCGTGAAAAATCACTTAGCCTACGTGCTATTTTCCATAGACAGGCCTTTGTTCTATGGTGAAGTTCTGTTCCAATCTTCTGTCCATTTAAAAAATTAGATTATTTTCATCTTGTTGAGAGTTTTTAAATGCATGGATCATGGATGAAAATCCTTAGTCAGATTATTCCTTGCCAGTATTTTCTCCCACTCTGTGGTTTGTCTTTCTGTTTCAATTTTGATAAGGCCTAATTCATGCCGTTGCTCTTGTAAGGATTATGGTTTTTGGTGTTGTAGCTAAGACATCTTTGCCTTCTTCAAGGTCTCTAGAGTTTTCTTTTAAAAGGTTTGGAGCTTTAGGCTTTACATTTCACGTATGATCTATTTTGAGTTAAATTTTGCTTGTGGTGTGAGGTATAAATCCAGGTTTGTTGTTGCATCTGAATAGCCAATTGTGATAGCACAATTTGTTGAAAGAGTGCCATTTCTCCATGCAGTGTACTTTGTACCTTTGTTGAAAATCCGTTGTCCTTCTAAGTGTCTCTTCCAGGTGTCTCTACTCTGTTGAACTCATTTATCTGTATGCCAACGAGGATCGTTTTTAAATGAATCCTCAGGTTGCTTAGTGTGACTCCTCCAACTTTGTTCTTTTTCAGATCCCTTCAATATCAATTTTCAAATCATTTTGCAAAATTTTACCCCAAAAGCACACTGGGATGTCTATTGAGATAACATTAAATCTATGGATCCTTTAGGGGAGAATTGGCATTTTTACCCTATCAAGTTTTCTAACCATTAATAAGAGCTATATCTACATTTGTTTAGGTTTATAGTTTTCATTGTATAGGGGTTTCACACCTTGGTCAGATTATCTCCAAGTATTTCAATTTTTATCCATGTTACGTAAATTGTATTATTTTTAAATTTTAATTTCCAATCATTTGTTACTTGTACCTGGAAATTAAAATTGCCCTTATCTATTGAAATTGTATCCTACAGTCTTGCCCAACTCACTAGTCTTGTTTGTTTGCTTGCTTGCAGGCTCCCTTGGCTTTTTTACCCGAGTAACCCTGTCATCTGTGAATCGTGACAGTTTTATTTTTTATATGGCTGCCTTTTCTTTCTCTGACTTGCCTTCCTTTACTGGCAAGAACTCTCATGCACTGCTGAACTCAGGTGGTGAGAGTAGACATCTTTGTCTTGTTCCGGAACCTACAGGGGAACCATTCCCTCTTCCACCATCCACTGTCATGTTACTGTAGGGTTTTTTGGAGATACCCTTTGTCAGGCTGAGGGAACCCCTTTATGCTCCTGCTTTACTGAGAGTTTTTATCGGGGATAAAAGGTTGGGTCTTGTCAAATATTCTTTCTGAAGCTATTACAATGACGATAAAGCCCTACCTTTTTAGTTTGTTATCTGGGGAATTACATTGATGTCAGAATGTTAAACCACTCTTGCATTCATTGTATAAATACAAGGATTACCTTCTATATATATTGTTTACATTTGATTTGCTAAAATT